ATAACAGCAAGATTCAGGAAGCTTCACAGACACCAGCATCTTCCGTCTGGAGGTACTGGCAAAGTTCAGGACTCCTCACACAGAGCAGTGCACATTTCCCAATTCCAGAAAATAGATAGGGACTGAGAACCAATGCACACAATGGCATGCCTAGCTCTGGCTTTCTGTCGCGGCTCAGGCATCCTGAGACATGTCTAGCCCCGTCCAGCCCCAGGAAAGTCCCCAGAAAGCCTCACGCACATCAGCGCACCCAGCCCCAGGGTATCTGCAAGGCTTGGGCACACTTGAAAGCTGTACTGTAGCTATTCCTTGTGCAACAACAGGGCTTGGAGGTCCTTGCACACGTGCATGGAGCCAGCCCTGCAGTACCTGCGTGGCACAGGACCACTGCAGACAGCCTCAAGACAAACCCCTTGGTACCAGCAGGGCTCGAGAACCCACACACACAGAGCACCCTTTTCAGCGCAAAGCTACCAAAGAGACATGGGAACCCTTGCACACAGCAGCATTACAATAACCAGCATATCAGGGAGGCCTGGAGACCCTTGTACGCAGAAGTGTATCCAGCCACCATGCACTGGAGAGACCTGGGGACCTTAGCACACAGTAGGGTACTGTTGGCTTGCCAGAAGTGGCCAGGGCATTTTGGCCGGAGCGGCTGCCTTCTCCTGCAGCTGCTGGGAAAAGCCTTACTGCAAGGTAGGGTGCTGGGCCCCTGAAGGACACACCACACACCCCCCCCGGCATGAAGCAGCTCCAGTGAAAAGGGGCACCTGTGAGCCAGGGTGGCCCCAAGCCCTCTGTGCTGCCCCGCACTGCTTAGGAAAGGAGGGAGGGCACAGGTTTGCTTTGCTCCTCTTCTCTGCCAGCAGGAGAGCTTTCCCAGGGCTGTGACTCTGCTCTCCGTGGAGCTTTGGTGAGTGACCCTGGGCTGTGGAAGCTGGAGCTGAGCCATCAGAGGCTTCTCCTTTGAGCCACATTCCCACGCCTTTGTTCTTTGCAGCCTGAACCACAAGCATCCTCCTGAGGGAGAAAGATCCCTTCCCCACTAGTTCCCTTTCTATGTTCTTTTCCTGTGCTACCACTCCCTTTTTTGAGGGGAAAATACACCCACCCATCCCCCCCATGATCCTCCTGCATCCTTTCAACATCCTCCCCAACATCCTCCTCTTTTTTTTAGGGGGGAGACTGAATGCCATCCCATGGCCCTCCCCTATTTTGGGGTGAGAAATAACTCATACTCATCTTATCTTTCAGCTGGACATTTTGTGCTCAGCTGCTCCCAGCTTAGCCAGGCCCTTGAGGCCCTTGTCCATCATGTTACGTGGGACTGTTGGGGTCATAATCCACAGGAATCACAAAGACAGGTGCAAAATCCTGCTCTGGGGGTTGATTTGTCTGTTTGTTGCAAATTTTGTATAAAAAATTAGAACGGCAGATTTTTATAAAAGAATATAGGGAACTACAGGCCAGTTAGTCTCACCTCTGTCCCTGGGAAGGTAATGGAGCGCCTCCTTCTGGATGTCATCTCCAGACATGTTGAAGAACAGGAAGTTATTGGAAGTAGTCAAGACGGATTTACCAAGGGTAAATCATGCTTGACCAATCTGATAGCCTTCTACGATGATGTAACTGGTTGGCTGGATGAGGGGAGAGCCGTAGATGTCATCTACCTTGACTTCAGCAAGGCTTTTGACACTGTCTCCATAACATCCTCATTAGGAAGCTGAGGAAGTGTGGGCTAGATGAGGTGACAGTGAGGTGGATTGAGAGCTGGCTGTGTGACAGAACTCAGAAGGTTGTGATTAATGGACCAGTGTCAAGTTGGAGGGCTGTAACCAGCGGTGTCCCCCAGGGGTCAATACTCGATTCAATCTTGTTCAATATATTCATCAATGACCTGGATGAGGGGACAGAGCGTATCCTCAGCAAGTTCGCTGATGATACCAAACTGGGAGGGGTGGCTGACGCTCCAGAGGGCCACGCTGCCTTCCAGCGTGACCTGGACAGGCTGGTGAGCTGGGCAGAGAAGAACCTAATGAGGTTCAACAAGAGCAAGTGCAGGGTCCTGCACCTGGGGAGGAAGAATGATGGGCACCAGTATAGGTTAGGGGTGGGCCTGCTGGGAAGTAGTTCTGAGGAGAAGGATCTGGGGGTCCTGGGAGACAGTAAATTGTCCATGAGCCAGCAATGTGCCTTTGTCGCCAGGAAGGCCAATGGCATCCTGGGCTGCATAGGGAAGAGTGTGGCCACTAGGTTGAGGGAGGTCATTCTCCCCCTCTACTCCTCCTCTACACTGGTGAGGCCACAGCTGGAATACTGTGTCCAGTTCTGGGCTCCCCAGTCCAGCGTAGGGCAACCAAGATGACTGAGGGATTGGAGCATCTCCCTTATGAGGAAAGGCTGAGAGCGCTGGGACTCTTTAGCCTGGAGAAGAGAGGGCTGAGGGGAGACCTTACTATTGCATGCAAGTGCCTAAAAGGGGGGGTTGAAGGAGGATGGAGCCAGGCTCTTTTCAGTGGTTCCCAGTGACAGGACAAGGGGCAACGGGCACAAGTTGGAACAGAGGAAGTTCCGTTCAAATACACGGAAAAACTTATTTACGGTTCGGGTGACAGAGCACTGGCAGAGGCTGCCCAGGGAGGTGGTGGAGTCCCCTTCTCTGGAGATTTTCAAGACCATCCTGGATGCAGCCCTGAGGAATTTGCTCTGGGCAATCCTGCTTTAGCAGGGGAGTTGGACCAGATGGTCTCTAGAGGTCCCTTCCAACTCTGAAAACTCCGTGATTCCATGATATGAAACCTCAAACACATTGAATCTGCCAGACAGATTTCATGGATGTGCTGACCTCTTCTGGATGCACAACCCTCCCCACCATGTAATGAAAGCCCAGGTGACTCAGACAGGGCACCTTCTTGACAATATCAAACCAACCAGACTGGGCTGTGGATGCACGAGGGAATGTGTGGGACCAGGCTGGACTAGAGAGGATGTGTGAGACCAGACTGGGCCAGGAGGACTGAGCGGGATTTGCTGGACCAGACTGGGCTGGAGGGACTGGGAGGCATGTACTGGACCAGACCGGGCTGAGGGGGCACGTACTGGACCAGACTGGACTGGGAGGACTGGGGAGGCATGTGTAGGGTCAGACTGGGCTGTTGGAACTGGGAGTGACATACCTGAGAAGGTGACAATGAGGGTCCCCACCAGTGGCCCAGAGCTCATCACTGCTACAGGGACAGGGGACAGGCAGGGCCAGCACCAAGAAGCAATGGTGGCACAGCCCCCTATCTGGGGGTCCCCTCTGTGTACAACCCCCCCAGGGGAGGCAAAGGCACCAGTTGCACATCCAAACCCAGAGTGTTTTACTGGGGGGACACAGCCCAATGATCAGCCACAGGGACTGGGGGTACCCAGGGATGGGGACAGCACCAGGACACCCCAACACCCTTGGGGGCGCTGATATGGGGGGCCACTGACTGGAATGTGGGGGTATTTTTGTGGGTGGGGGGCTCCCTAACTTTCCTAACTTTTGGCAGTCAGCAGCGGTGACAGGGGGGAGCAAGGACAGAGCCCCAGTGCCCCAGGGTGCTGCCTGGGCACAGCCCAGCCCTGGGGCTGCAGGGACCCCCTCTGCCCCCAGCTGAGCCCCCCAACCCCTAAATCCACCCACAGCCCCCACCTTCGCCTGAACTGATCGGGGTGGTTAACCCAGGTGCATCCCTCATCCCGATGCATCCCCCAGTCCCCATCTCGGTGCATCCTTCATCCCAGTGCATCCCCCAGTCCCCATCTCGGTGCATCCTTCATCCCAGTGCATCCCCTGGTCCCCATCTGCTGCATCCCTTAGTCCTGATATGGCCTTTTCCGGCCTGAGGTCACTCTCTGGGGGAGAAAGGGAGGGCATGTCACAGTTATGGGGGGCACTGCTGGCACGGGGGGCTCCAGACTGCTGCATCCCACTTTCACCTGCCTCCACTGCTCTGGCAAGACCCCAGATCATGGGCACGGTGCTGCAGGAGATAAAAGGGCCTGTTATCAGGGGTGCTGGCTTGCGGGGTGGGATTTTTCCCTATCACAGCTGCAGGAGGGTCTGGGGCAGTGGCCAGTGCAGCGCTGGTCACCTCCCTGAATTTTAGCTGGCCAGCTCTGCGCCTCCCACTGCCCCAGGGAGGGG